GCCATGCACGCCTGAGTGCCAGCGTGAGCCCACGCTGGCTACACCCTGCTCCGTCTGTACTCCAGCTTGTAAAACGCTGCAGCCAAAACGCTTGCCCGCGAGCGGGGTGTGCAGGCCCCTGCGGTTCTCGCCGCTCCCGCTGCTCGCAGGGCCCCGTCTCACCCTGGCCCACCGCCGGCACGACCCTGGGCTGCTCCTGCACCCCAGCCTGCACCCCCAGGTTCTGGGTGCCAGGGAAAGAGATTTGTATTTTTCCTTTGTAATAAAAAGGCTCTATCAGAAGCTTTCCACTGATCCTGAAAGGATGTCAAAGCAGTAAAACCCCTCCTTATTTTACGACCAAGCTGCAGGATTTTTTGCTACCGAGTGCAACGGCATAATGCTTGATTTCATAAACAGAAAATCACGCTCTCCTTTGCCCAGCCGAGGGAAGAACCCGCAGCAGGAGCAACGGCTGCTCGCTGGGTCTCCAGCCGTTTGTCTGGGGGGTTCCACGTGCAGACGTGAGTAGCTGTCCCGGGCATCCAAACACCAGGGCAGCAGGTGAACAGGGCAGAAAATGCCTGTAGCTGCTGTAGCCTAAAGCAGCCAAAGCCCTTGACTAAACTTTTTCGGAATTAATTTTACTGTTCTCAAGCCAAATATCTTCCTGGTCTTATATAAATGCTTGGTAGGAAAAAGGAAAAAAACACAACCCGAACAAATAAAACAACAACAACCAAAAAAAAAGGCACAGAAACCCATTTCTGAAATACTTTTGAAAAAGAGGGAGAAGGAACAAACATGAATATAAAAGATATTCCTAAAATCTCTGCTGCCCAAACCAAGATTTTATCCATTAAATTCCCAAACTAAATATATCCCCTATCTATCACGCCAGTACGGGGGGAAGCTCATCCTCCATTCTCAGTGCTACTCACAAGTGAAATCCCAGCTCCACCTCCATCACACACACCATCCCTGCAGCCGAACCGGACCCCCCCTTCCGCTTCGGGTCCCCCCCCCCGGGACCCCCGCATCGCCCGGCGGCTGCTCCTCCTCCTCCAGCCTGAGGGCCGCCCCCGGGAATAACGAACCGGAGCCGGTCCCGAGAGCCACGGTGGAAATTGAGCTCTGATCGCCTGTTTTCAGCCCGAATTTGCCTCCCGGTGCTGTCCCCGCCGGTGGGACCCGGCTCCCCCCCCCCCCCCCCCTCCCGCGAACCCCCCACCCCC